GAAATTAAAATCATGGCCCTTTTGTTCTTCTGTTCCCATAATCTCTTGGCTTCCTCAGAATCCCCTCATTGTGGTTGAGGGGAATCTAGGCTGTCCCGAAAGTCCAATCATAGCCTTAGTCTGTCTAGCCAAGCTGAAAAATTATCTTCAACTTTGGGATGGGGGAAGCCCCTCCTCCCTTTCCATTGTTAAAAGGAGAGAAAAAGCAAAAGAAATCTGAACTGAGCCTTTTTAAAATGTGCAAGCAGTTTCTTGGGTGTAAGACCAAAGAAACCTCCTGGGCTGATATGCTAGCCCCGTAACTCTATGTTGGGGTTCTGAAATGTTAATTCAGAAACCCTGAGGAGGAGAGAGGATTCATTCCTACCTCATGGAGAGCCATGAGGAGAAATAAGAAAGTGAGGGAAACTGGAAAAAAAAGGTGGGTTCCAAGCCCCTCCCACACAAAGCAGCAAAGCTAGGCCACAGTGAAGCCACCCCTCGCTTTCTGCTCGTGTGAGACAGGCCTGGTTGAAACCCCATATTTTCCAACAGGGGCACAGCATGTTATCCTCAGTATTTCAGAAAAAGGGTGGGATAAAAAATGTAATAGATACCAAATGACAGAGATTTTTTAAAAATTAAAATCAACGAGTAATCTAAGTAACGTAAAGCCTTGTACAAGCATAGAAGGTAAGGGATGGAGTGGATCCCAGAGATCATGTAGTCCACTGTACAATAATGTCCCCAACAAATGACCATCTAACCTCTGTTTAAACACCTCCGAAGTAGTCTGTTCCATTTCTGAAAAGTTCTTAGCATTGGAAAATGTTTCCTGATATCCAACCTAAATCTGCTTCCACGTTACCTAAATGTACTGTTTATTGCCCTGTCTTCTGGAACAACTCTGAATGATTCTGTCCTGTCACCTAGATTACAGCTCTTCAGATATCTGAAAACAGTTACTATGTCTCTCTGCAGTCTTCTCTTCTCCAGTGTAAACGTGCACAGTGCTTTCAGCCATTCCTCAAGGCCTTTCCTTCTGAGCCCTTTATCTCTTCTGGACATGCTCCAGTTTGTAAATGTCCTTCCTAAAATGTGGTGCCCAATACTGGACACATTTTTCTGAGTGGGGTCTGACCAACGCAGAATAGAGAGGAACAAGGACCTCTCTTGATCTTGACGCTATACTTCTCTTGATGCATTTTGGGATTGCATTTACTTTTTTTGCAGTTGCATCACACTTTTGGCTCATGTCCAGCTTGAGATCCACCAAGACATCTAGATCCCTTTTGCATATATTTCCAGGATAGTTCCCCCCCCCCCATTCTATAATCATTTTTTATGTTGTTCTTTTCCAAATGTAGGACTTTGTGTGTGTCTCTGTTGTAATATGCTTTGTGGGTGTCTGCACATTGTTCCAGTTTCTCAAAACCTTTGTGAATCTTGATAATGTCCTTTCAGGTGTCTGCAAAAATTGATAATATCTTCCAACCCCTCATTTATACATATGTTGAACAGCACAGGCTGTAGAACACAGCCCTGTGGTATGCCATTTAACACTTCTCTTCAGCTTGTCATAAAATGTTGTATGCTCAGGTCTGTATGCATCTAATGGTAACATAGTCCAGCTCACATTTTGTTGTCTCTGTGTGGGTCTCATGGGAGATTTCATCAAAAGCTTTGCTGAAGACAAGATACCCTTTGTCTACCACCCTATGTTCCATAGTCAACTAAGCTAGTCTGTCATATCCTAAATGCCAGCCTCAGAAAGCCAGCCCACTTCTCTTGATAGACTGCCAGGGCTTCAACCACCAGTAGACTTCTCTTCCATAGATCCCTAGGCTTGTGGCAGCTGTTCTTCACCCAGGGGTCCAGAATCATCATCCAGAGAGGCCCTGGAATCTATTCTAAAACACCAGAGTAAAAGAGCTATTCTTGTTGGGCTTGGGCTTTTATGTCATATTCTACATCTCTTCATTCTCTTTGCTTGCTTTTCTTCTATCCTCTAGGAGGCTTCTTAGTGCTGTACTACCTCTGCAAACACTTCCTGGGTCCAATTCAAGCTGGTGGTGGTGATGAACAATTTTGGCCCTAGCCATCCTGGGAGGATTTAGACTGCTTTTCCTCTGCCTCCACATTTCTCTAAAAAACCCTGCCAAATTCCTATTTGCTTGCCCTGTTCCCTTGTGGAGTCGCCAGGGAGAACAAATAGGTCCTCTCAGTGCTGGCTCAAGAGTATATGGGGCCCTATAGCCACAATGACTGATAGTACCACCTCCACTGTTGCAAAGATTTGCATTTTTAGAATGATTCAGGAGGAAGGGTGGCATTGGCACCCCCCAAGCTTTGGAGCCCTAGGCCAGTGCCTACTTGGCCTTAGTCTAAAACCTGCCCTGGGTCTTCCAGCTGCAAAATGTCTGACTTTTAGAATGGGATTAATTGTATTTGCTTCCATTTGTATTCCTTAAAATATACTGAAAGACTGAAAGAAACTACTAAGAAGATTTTGCTTGGGATCTGCATCAATATTATACATTTTCAATTCAAAAAACAAGTCGTAACAGTTTAAGGGCTGGAATATAATTTACTGAGAAAGGGTGAATTAATGTATGGGGATGATGAATCTGCTGGTATCGTTACCTAATTCTTACTATAGTTAAGAAAGGAAAGGTATGTACATTCAGAAGTTTCAAGAAAAGAATTGAAACATTCAGAAAATTTGTACCAAAAAAGTTGATACTTGCCATATTATAAGGTTCACATTATAATCCTTTCTGCTAGATGCAATAAAATTTCCAGTACAGAAATGCAAACATCTAGTTTCAAATCTATGTTTAGAGTCTTGCACCTAGAGTCTTAACCTCTGCCTCATACCCCAAATACATTCATTTGGAGATGTCCAAAGGATTGGAGGATTTTGCCAAAACTGTGAAAATAAGGTTGCCCCATCACATTGTGTAAGCTCCTGCCCTTTCCTACATGCATTCAGTGTCACAACATTTGTACGAAAGGGTGGAGCTTGGCATTGTGACAGTGTCATCATTTGCATCACCTTGATCTCTCCTGCAGCTGTATCTAAATACAGTACATTTCTTTTATTTGTAACATTTTGTTTTACTATTGACAGTTTTATTTAACATTTTTAAAAAATGTTTTGTTTTATCTTTTACAGATGTGCAAAGTTTGAAGAGGTATTTCAATTTAAAGAAGCATCAGTCAGATCAGAGCACATTTACAGATCGAAACTTCCTTCTGTGTAGTGTGGGTGGCTTTGAATTATATTGTAGTAAATATGTGGAAAATCTATTATTCCAGAAAAGAGTCCCAGAGAACTTCAGAATATTCTTTTTCTTCTCTAGTCCACATCTGTCTGACAGTTTTCTGGAAGTTAATCTTTTGAACCAAAAATAATTCACTACATCCATAGTTCCAGATGAAATAAACCTGTTTCAGGGCCAGACAGTGTCTGGAATGTCACAAACTGCCTCTAGCTCAGGTTGAAGACTCTTGACAATTAATAAAAGAGAACCAGGCTCACACTTGCAGGCACTGGATGTGAGGGTGATCTGGTTGGTGTCTTCTTTTTCTCTCACTGCTCCATGTGTGTCCTGCCTGAAGCTGTGTGCTCAGTGCAAGAGGATGACCATCCCAGATAGGAATGTATTATTCCTTCAAGAGTATACTCACAGAGGCTGGTCCAAATCTTTACTGTTTTTAATATTGGGGGAAGTAAGTCTACAAATGCCACTTTCTCAGTGCCAGCCTATCTCTGTGGCACTGCAAATCACATCAAAAACTTTTATTACAGCTTGCTTATGCTACCTCTATCAACTAACAAAAAATGCTGTCAGCAAGCTACAAGCCTAACACAACCAAAACCTGCACAAAGACTCCATTAAGTGGTCCACCTTAAGTGTAACATGCCTGACATCTAGTGCCTAGTTAAATTCATATCAGTGCAAAATATAACATCTGAGCAATGGTTAACTGAAACTGGAAAGGTTTGTTTCCGTTCTTGGATTTCTGTGTCTCTGAATCTATCATTTGTAAGCTTCCTTCTCCTCAGCAGATAAGTAAGTTCAAGCTCATTTGAATAAAGGATGAAGGATGTATCCAGACTGACCTTTGAAACTGTATTTTCAACTCTTTAGGCCATATAGATTTATTAAAACTAAGATATTTCTCAGAAATATCAATACCCAGTAATGTGCAGTGATAAGCAGATCAAACATTAATAGAAGCAGAAAAAATATTGATTTACTGTTACTGATAACATCTGTTTCCATAAATATTAACAGATTTTTATATAAATGAAATGTGTTCCTTTCTACTGATATTTTGTATTTTGAATTACTTCTGCCTTCTCCAAGCTAGTGCTCTCCAGATATATTGGGCTTCTGTTCACATAAACTTTAGCTAGCACAGTTGTCCCAACAGGGAGTTTCATGAAAGAAGATAAAAGTATATTGTGATACTCACCTGGATTGCATTTAACCTGTTGAAAGTATTTTTAGTGCAATTGAGTGAGTCTCCTTCCTGACTCTCCAAATATTCCTAACCATGTCATAAGGCCTGAATCAAGAGCAGAATTATTCTAGATTTGTTTATTCTCTGGGAAATAGAGATAGGATTAAAAATGTATAGGAGTCATTGGCAATTCAGCATTCACCTTCTTTCCATTTCCTCAGGCATAGAAAGAGAGACAAACAATCATAGCACTTAATAGCCTTAACATTTAACCCAAACATTTAATCATAACCCCCATAAAAAGGAAATATTTGTAGTGTAATGCACCCATTAATAAAGGATTCATAGCTTCATAAATATTATGGTTGTTGTATTTTTGATATATGGATGCATGGATTTATATTTTTGTAATTTTTTATTGATTTATTATTGTGAATTTAGTTTTTGTAAGCCACTTAGATTTTTTTTTTTTGATTGAAGTGGCTTAATAAAGAAATAAATGGTATGGTAACAGGCTCCAGTATGTTGTTTTGAGAGGAGATTCAGAACTTGTAATAAATGGGTGGACAATGAATCAGGCCTAGAAATTACTCTGTCCCACCTAAAATATATGTTTATGAAGATTCTGGGTTGGAATTTGGCTCCCAGAGGTAATTCAATATCCTTAAATAGTGGATCTCACTTCATAGGATTCAAAAATAATAATACAAAGTTTCAGTCACTTAAGAATTTGAGCCTGACTGCAAGGAATGGAAAACATGACTAGAAACTTGATTATAAATGGTTAACATATTAGCTATTCAACAGTTATGAGTTCAAATCTTTGTGGTTTTATTTGTGGGAAGCCCACTAATCTGAATGGACATATCTTTCAAAGACGAGTGAAAACATTGCAAGGGAACTGTTGTGATGACCATACAGGTGCTTTGGAAAGGGAATGATGCACTCTAAAATATCTTTTAGGGATGAAAGAAGTAGATCTAGAAGAAAAATGCAGACTTAATAAACATCTGTTTTAAATCTCTGTGAACTTGTTCCTTGATGCATGTTACAAATATATTTGTAGCATGCAGCATGTTGTATGCTATAAACTGAAGAAGAATATCAACCCAGCAGTATACATTTATATATCTGTGTGAAGCTATCCATTCTTTGCAGAACTTGCTGGTAATGTGACTTAGGAGCCTTGGCTGCCTGTGGAACATGCTTCCTGGACTTCTTTCTCAGTACCTATTGTCCGTTTCTCCTCTGGCACCAGCTCCAACTCTGGGGATTTTTCTCCACTTCGAGCCACTGTGAATCTGTTCATGTGTATGGCTTCTTCATAAATTGGGGGAGTCTCTGTTCGGGCAAGGTGGTGCACTGCTGGCACTGCACTGTGGGAATGAGCTACTGCTAGTATTCTCCTAGCAGCTGGGCCAAACATGGAATGGAGGGCTGAAAGGGAAAATACCAGGAGTATTTAGGTTATTTCTACAACTAAAAAACTCAGTAATGATTAAGGATAGGAATCATTCTCATGTTTTGATTGATTGATTATATACCATTAAAAAAATTCTACAAAAGTGTTCACTGAATTTGAGAAGTTGTTTTCAAGCAATACATCTTTTAATCTTTTGTTGAAGAGAAACACCCTTTTGAAATTCTGCACAGCACTAATACATTACAGTATGGTTTTTAAAAATAGCATGCTATGTAAAATATATTAAAATATTTAAAATATTATACTATATTGCTTAATATCATACTATCTCAGACTCACTCATAATATGAGAATGACCATCAGTACAAAACAAACCCAAAAAATAGCAGAAAGAAAATATTTTTTATAAAAAAAAAGAAAGTAAAAGGATGGATTGGAAGAGGTGAAAAGCTATACTGTATACAGACTGATCAGACAAAGCAATTAAGAGTTACAGAAGTATAAGAAGAAAAGTGTTCACCACATGAGAAAGCAGACTAGATTTTTTTAAAAGAACAGCAGAATAAATCTGACTCTGTCTTTCCCTGCAAAACTGCTTAAACAAATGAGAGGCAGCATTGTCTCAGCTCCCTGGTGGGGTTTTCGAAGGTGATGAAATGAGGTCTGCTACTTCTATCAGACAGCCTGTCACAGCACTCTTCCCCTTCCTCCAGGTTTGTGTGTATGTGGAAGGAAGGCTGCAACAACATTTGAGACTCTGCAAAATGAGAAAGCCTGTTGAAGCTCTGCATCTGCTTTGAATCTCACTAAAATAATTCAAAAGTGCTTATTAACTTCAGCACCTCTGACTGGGGCTGGAGATTCAGTTCAACAGCTTGATTCAAAGGGTTGATACTGAATCATCTTTTTTAAAGCTTTGTAATGTCTACTTATGTCTGAAGGACAGAGAGGTTCTCCAATAGAACTTAAGTGCCAGAGTAATGATTCAGATGAATCTAACAATGCTAGAATGCTAGATTGTCAGCTTCAGGTACCCAAAGTGGTTTGTATGAGCGCCTGTGTCCTTGCAAATAGCTACTAATGGCACCCACCAGGAGTGCCTGTTCTGGTCTTCAATTAATTTATTATTTATTATTATGAAAATGTTAGCTTCCACTACCATTTTTATTGAGTCCCAAAAGCATTCTGAGAAGTAATTCTAATTTTAAAAAATGGCAGGTGGTGTATGGCCAATCCCCCCCCCCTTTTTTTTGGTGCCTGGCGGGTTATTGGTCATTGGGGTTAGCAAGCATTTCTGGGGCTAAAGATGGTGTCAGAAATATACTAGAGGGGTATAATGGAGTATTTTTCTATGCCTACGGTACATGATGTTTTTAGATGGCATTTTACTTTAGTTCTTGGGAAAGGATTTTGTTTTTAGCCATACTCATTAAAAAATAGATGTTTTGTAACCGGTCATGCCCAATGGCAGCCATTATGTGAATTGCCAGCCCCAGAAAGCATTTAATTGAGAATATTCATAACATCTCTCAGGGTTTCAAAGGTGCCCACCCATCCCAAAAAGTTGGGATGTCTTATAAACTATTTTGACAAGACATTTCTGCCTGGGATCCTTCAGAGTTATTCTCAGCCTTCAAGGATTGACTAGATTCTCATTCCACTCACAAGTGATGGTGCTTTGAAGGGTGCTGTCATGATCAAAAGCAATAACTGTAACCTCATATGGCTGAGGACTGGCATCTTCCCCTGGATGGCAATTAAGGCAGCAGCATCTCACACAAACAGAGACAACAGCACAGAGGAGGAGGAGCCCACCAATGGCAACCACAAGCCTGGAAGTGAAGAAGAAGGATCAGAACGCCTGCCATTTATTACTCATATGATGGAAGGACCCTAACAAATTATCATAAAACTGGAGATGCACAAAGTCCTCTATTTTATCTATTTTCTAGAGGTTCTAATTTCTACAGAATGTCTACAGCTAATTCCAGAACTGGATCAAATGGATATCACCATAACTTTCAGTTACATCAACTACTTTCCATTTTATTTCTCTCTCCCTAACTCACTAGAATATACACTGATAAAGCAATGCAAGAATACTCTTGGCGTTCAAATAACTGCATCTAAGTTCATTGTAAGAGCAAATTGACCCACTGACACTTATGGTTCCCTCACCACCTCTTTCTTAGGGTCTTTGGGAAAAGAAAGACAATCTTATAGTGAAGGCCAGAATCAAGGGCTCAAGAAAAATATACCTGGTTATAGAGGTCTGCTCTTTCTTTGCTTATGCCTCCCAGGTCCTCAGCTTCATGTCTCCCAGGCTGCATCTCTGAGGCACCAACCAGACCAATCACCTCCCTGACCTGCAGTTCTCTGCCCTAACCTGGTTCACTAGCCTATCCCTCAGGCTCTGCCCTCTAATCCACCAGGCATTACCTCTTCTCTTTAGCTCTGATTTTCAAGAAACCTGAAAACAATGTAATATACATCATTTTTTACAAACTGGGCAAACTCTGAAAGGAGGAAGATTGCCCAAAGCAAAGGTATATATATACAGGTTGTACATTCATTGCCTGTCCTCTCTATTCTATATGTATCCCTGGGGCTTAATCATATTAACATATCCCCTGACGTTAGCATGCTGATGAACCCTGAGGTGACACACTATTTCAGTATCAGCCCATTCCTCTCCAAGACAGGAAAAGCCAACTTGCTAAGCCGCTGTAGCTGAACATAGTTACAGGTAAATTAATCTGGGCTAAGCAGGCTTTCTAGGACCTCTATGTTTCCTTCAAGTCTGATCCCTCTCTCTAGTGTTGGTGAGAAATATGTGATGACAGATAAAAATAATACAGTAAGGGCTTTCAAGAACCCAAACAGGTAGATTCATCCCAAGGTAAATCCTGAGACATCTCTCTCTCTCTCTCTCTCTCTCTCTCTCTGTGAGAGACACAGAGAGCAAGTTGCAAGTCTGTTGGTATGATGTCACTCTCTCCCTATGCAGATTTTTTTCCATGAAAACCATTTCCACTCTCAAAGAGTGTCTGCAAAGGGCTGCTACCTTCTGTTTTTATTCTCATTGCTCCTCTCTCTCTATATTAAAGAACTGTCTCATTTCCTCAAGGGGTATTCTCTCAAGTGCATATGTAGAATCAGGTTAGAAGTGTAAAAGCTTTTCCAATTCCAGTTCCAGACGGAAAGCCAATGTAACTCTCTGAAGTTTGGCAGAAAAGGACAGCATGCTCATAATACTCTTTCTGTTAGACCTATTATAAAAAGGTATTGTTCTTAATTTTATAAGCAGACTAGAGAAAGCATATGAAACTTGGCTTCTGGAATTCTTTCCAACTCCTTAATAAGAGTTTCATCTAGGTCATATGACTGGGAAGGGGGGGGCTTAGAATGGAGTCAGCAACATTCCAAAGGGTGCCCAGCTTCCTCTCCCATTGGGGGGCAGGGGATTTTTTCCTGATATTTTTTCTCACAGCCCATGGTGGGATCAATCCAGTCTATTTTCAAACTTGAACTTACTTTTCTTTGCTTCTTCCTAAGCATGACATTTGATTCCGCTAGTTCTGTTTTCAGTCAGTTATCTAGCTGATGGACAGATGAACAGACAGACTCTTGAGACTCTTTACATACATTTCTTTACAACATCACATTGGGTTGGAAAGAACTAAAAGGGGGAGGGGAGAGGGAGAGAGCTGCCAGTGTGGAAGTTGTATCTTTTGGATTAAGACTCACCTCCCCAATTCCTCTTTTAGGAATGTTAAGACTGGCTGTGGCTACTCAGGCTTCACCGAATAGTAAATCTGTAAGTGGACTGTGCCATTTTAACCTGCAGGTGAGTGGGAACTCACAATAGTAAAATTTGAATGTTTGATCAGGCTCCTGTCTCTGATGAAAAATGTCATAGCTCCTGCTCTGAAATTGTCCTAGAGCTACTTTCTCCTGTACTTAAACCTCAACTCTACAAGAGGTGAGGGACCAGCATTCTATATACTGTACAGTATGTCCTTGAGGTTGAGTTCTAGCTGTAAAAGCAGTGAAGTCAAAAAGGCAGAGTCCTAGTAGAGAGTTGATCTACTAACATAATCCAAGAAATACTTCAATGAGCTTTTTCCAACTAGGAATTCTGGAATTAATATCCATATGAAGGAAAACAGACTGGAAAAAGCTTTGTTAGATTACAAATTCTACTTGTATGAAACTGTAAAGTGTGTGTGTGTGGGGGGATATTCTTAATATTCTCGTTTGTCATTGAAGTTTGTGTTTGAATTATTATTCACATTGTTTCTAATTATTATATGTTATATTTTGAAAGCAAAGAACCTCACCCAACAAATTCCCAGCATCCTAAATGACACAGTAAGTCGTACAGAATGTTTTCCCATTAAACTTACCAGATGTACCAGAGATGGAGCCAGTTTGTGTTGGAACAGCTTTGGAAGTAAAAGGAGTTCAAGAAAATATTAATGTCATAGAAATAAATGGTTAATTTTTACATTGATAGACATCAGAAGATTATCCTTCAGATGACCTCCCTTGTCTTAACCCAGATATATGAAAAGATTCCACTGAAAACATTTTGCATTTTGAGGGAATCTGTGGGATGTAAAAGTTCTATACATTGAATTGTTTATTTATTTCATGCTTTCCAATTTCACTTGTCAGTAAATTAACACCAATCGAGATCCCAAATTGACAAAATAAAACCCACTAACCCCAAACCCATATCAATGATGTCTTCCTGCATGAGACATTAGAAAAGCAATTATGAAGCAGGATAGCTGCAAAGTTATCAAAGGTGAGACTTAAAAGGAGATTTAAAAAGATATATTCTTTTCAGTTAGACAGACTGTTCTCTTAAGTATGGAATTCTTATTACATATACATTTAATAGTGTATGTCAGAGATTTTCAGATTCTGGGTGGAGACCTCAGTTATGAGGTCATAAACAGATTTAAGGGGGATAACACTCACTCCCATTCTGCCTGGGTGCTGGCAGGCTTCACTGAGCTGCTGGGTAGATCAGGCCATGTACAGGACCTGGACACTGGCAGTTTTCTTCAGTGGCTTTCTTTGTACTCACAGTAATAATGCCTGCAATAGTCCCAACAACCAAGCTAGGATTGAAGCGCTCTTGCTAGTCTCACCATCCCTTTCTTCTGTTCTTTTGGCATTCTTCCTAGGAGGCTTCACTCTGGGTTCTGGTACTGAGCCTGCACCTCCTCCAGCCATCCTGAGTGCTGTGCCTCTTCTAGTTCTTGCAGAATGACAGTGCACGCTTAGGAGGTCAGCATGTTCAGGCTGCTTGGGGTGAGCTGAGTGCCAGAATCCAGAGTGATACCCCCAGGAACAGCTCAATGATGTGTCCCTTCGAGCCTTCTAAAAGCATATGAGATCAACATAAAAGATAAAAAAGTTAGACTCCCTCAAACTCCCTGTAATTCAGCACTGGAAAATATTCAGAATAGTACATCAAATGTGCTCCTTGTAATTGCATTTAAAAAGCCACACTTCTGCTGCTCACCCCCATGCATTATACTGGTGTCTATCTTGATGTTAAAATTCCATTCCCACTGCCAAATGTGTTCTTTCATTTCCAGATCTAATCTGATAACCAGTAGCTGCTGCATAAATAAGAAAGGGGAGATGCGCTATGAAGAAATCCTATTTATATAGCTCAGTTTCCAGAATACATTGGACAATTGGCTGGTTTCAAAAGAGGTAGAGGTTATACAGTCTGTAGGACTATAGAAAACTCTGATAAAAATATTTAATCTGACAATTTTATGAATCATTATTAAAATAAAAAATGAATACAAATTTTAAAAGAGGTTGAGTTTGGATATCTGCTCCATTCTGAATGTTCCAGGTTCTCGATGTTGGTAACTAAAGTTAGTGTCCTTCAACATTTTCAACCAGTTTTAAAATATCATAAATCATATCTTCTTGACAAGAAGCTAATGATTCTACATTGTCATACTCAGATTAGTATCTTGATGCTCTGTTTGCATGCATGTGTATGTATATGTATATGCGTATGTGTATGTGTATGTATGGGCATCTTGTGTAGATAGCTGCTTTAACTATCTTCTCTGTGAAACAAGTTTTCTAGCTAAGGCTGAACCAAAACCATCTCCCCCTAGTCTTCTCCAAAATATTTTCCTCCTCTGAAAGCAAGAGAGAGTTTTCCACTGATTTCTTGGAGTGAGGGAGGAAATTGCACTAACAATGTTATGGTGTGTGCTAGTCTAATATAACTTTATGAAGTGACTGAGAGTTGTCTAATTTTTTTCCATTGTTTAATTTTTTGTACTCCATAGGCACTTCTTTCTGCTGCTTGAGGAATAAAATCATGCATTATGACATGACAGTAGAGGACTTTATGCCTTGTACCACTTGAGATATGTAGGGCCTTTTTAGTAGGAAAAATAGGATTAGCAACCTTACAGGTTTATAATATTATTATAAAATTATAATAATCACTTCTCCATTCCCAATATGTTGCTGAGTGGGGGTCAGATAGGGATGTAATTCTATTTTCTTACTTTCAGTGAACTGTCAAAAAATATGTTTTTGAAATTCTCAGCTCAGCACTAAATTCCTAGAATTCTTTATTCCCAAAAATCTAATCCATCCAAAAACCAAAGCAATTTTTCATCCATATATCTTAGATAGCTTACTGAACTTAAAAGAAATTGATGGTACTCTGTATACACTCACGGATCATTGTTTGTACAACTCTCTTGCAGTTTCACCTGAGGAATCTTAAAAGAGAAAAGAATCAAAAGCAATGGTGAGATATTTCGCTTTCTTTCTTTCATCCTCACAATTTTAAATGTTACCCTTTTCATGAATTGGTATAATATTCATAATTGTTTTCCTATCCTCATCTAACCAGATATTTGAGTCTCTTTTCTCTTGCTTCTTGGCATGAGCAAAATAAGCTTTCTACATTTTATTCTACAAATCTAAATCAGAATTCATTTCCTACTGGTTTTCCATCTGCTTTTACTTCTTGTTAGTTACTATATGTAGAGATCTAATGTGGCTTACCTGAATCAGACATGCTAAAGCAGAGATGGCTGCAACCTGGGTACACTTGCCCATCAGACGATGTGATTTTTCTTTTCCTTGCCAAAAGTGGTGCTGCCTATTTAACTTAGGTTCATCATGCATAGTCTTCAGACCAAGAGAATCAACAATGAAATAGTCTTAAGACACAATTTTTTGCTTTTTCAGTCTGTATGTCTCTGAAAATAGTGCAGTATTTTCATTCATAAGAGACATTCACAAATATATTCACACAATCCACCCTCTTGTTTGCTCATATTTACCTCAGAAGCCGAATGGGAAGACCCACAAAGTTGAAGAGGGAGCCAAGTCACATTGTCCTGCAAAATGCTCCTGTTTATTTCTAGTAGTTTTCCCTCTGCCCCTGCCTCCTCTTTGAAAAAAGAGGTCTAGTTTAGGATGACGGTTGTAGTGCTTGTCCTCTTCCTTCTGCAACTACGTACCTTATCCCTTTTGCCAGAGAAATGCTCTTTCAAGGACAGGCTGTTATTTCTGCAAAATAACTCAGAAACTATTTACACTCATGAAATCCACTTAGTCACCCATGCTCTAAATTTCTGATGAACTACTAAAATGTTAATCTGTAATAAACTGCTGCTATTTCAGTGATTGGCCCCACATAATTAATGGATATTTTTTTCTGTTTTCAAACTAGTTATTTTCCCTCAAGCTGATTAATCAAAGTCTTGTAATAACCTGCTGTTTTCCTCTGGTATAACCACCATATATTGCAATTTAATTTCCTGTGCTTTCTTGTTTGTGTATGTGCATATATTGAGCTGGGAATGTATGTATTACATCCCATTATTGGAGATATCCAAATATTTCTCAATAATCATTCACATTTTAATCAGATTTATGTTTAACAATTTTCTTTAGGGCATGTAATACCTGTTCTGTGAAAGGCAAGCCAGTGTTGAATTGGAAGGGTTTCTTATCCTCTATTACAACTATGTTGTATCCGCAGTTAAGCTGGTGAATCATTACTCTAACATAGCTTTCAAAGGCAGCAAGCAGAACCAATGGATTCTGCAGCACAGCACCCATTCTCAATTAGAGTTTTTTTTAAGCAGGCATCTACAAATCTCATACTAATTCATGCACCAAGCAGAATAGCATGTTGGCCACTTAACTGATTCAGCAAATGGCTACAATTTAACAGCTTTGAAAAGAAGTCACTGGATCCTTAACTGGCATTTTACAAACAGGTAAGGTGAGCATAGGTTTTTTAATAGACTATGTGCTCTAGTAGATAGGCAGAGCTTGCTGCACACACATTCAACTAGTGATCTGAGTTTAGAACTCAAATTCTAAGTTAATAGAATATGATTGAGATTGGCCAACCAGAGGCATTCACAGCTGGCTACCATAATTGTATAGGCATCATGAAGTCCTGACACAGGCTCTACCCTTTTGTACTGGTATGATGTCACACACAAGCACATAAGGGGTAGAGTTTGCATTACAATAAAAAAGAGTTTCTATAAAATGACAGTGAATAAAATACAATGTATATGCTAATGGTGGGACAATTACCACTAAGAAGACATGTAAAGGAAAATCGGAACTAAAATAATTAATTGGTGTTAAGATCCTAGATACTGTATAGGCATTATTATGCCTATAAACACTGCAGTTAATACAATAGATGGTACAATTTAATGTACCACTATTTTAATATACTGCTAAATTTTTAAAATTTTAAAATTGGAAACACTAAAATATTAAACCTATTGATTGACAAGACACTTCATTGAATTCTTTATGAAGATTACAAGTCCATGCCACTGATTGGCTTCTATGAGCTATATAATATGTATGCCTCTAATCCTTGAAGCAAGCTTCAAAGCAAAGATATATGTACTATATATTTTTACTACATATAATATAACAGTAAAAATCTTAAAACATTTAAAGGGGAAACTACTATCCTCAAGTCAGAAGGCACCCAACAAAGTATTGGGGAAGAAAAGAGGGCAATATGAGTAGCATTGGTGTTTATGATGTACAGTAGCTGAATTAAAGCCAAAAAATGTTCAGTTATACCAGAAAGAAAAAGAAATTTTCTTTTTCCTAATCCTAAAAGGAGATCCTAATTAAGATCTCCTTAAGAGATCTCTGTATTTGGTATGCTATTAGCATGAGTTAATGCCTTTTGTCTAGGAAGTTTAGTCAAAACTTTCTGATGATCCTCATCTAATGCCCATTTTCTTATTGTAGGTCAATCTAATATGAACAGAAAAATTTTCCGTGAATTTAAATAAATTCAGTTGTTACTAAATATGGCAATGGAAAAGTGATTTTTAAAACATTATTCTGACTTTTATTTATTCTGTTTAGGAAACACAACGATAACTGTAAAATAATAGCCTTAAAAGTAAGGTAAGTACAATACTATGAAAATTAACCCACACCATCTTGTGTTAATACATGTACTTATTTTAACCTTATGGTAGATTGATACAGTACCAGTAAATTAGATTCCAAAGGATGGCTAGTTGTAAAGGATTCCAGAAGAATTACAGGTGGTCCTCTTTTTACAACCACTTATTTAGCAACAAACTTATGATGGTAGTTATGACCGGTCCTCAGAGTTCTGGCCATCACAGTGTCCCTGCAGTCATGTGATTGCAATTTCCAGTGTTCCCTGCTGGCTTCCCACAAGCAAAGTCAATGAGGAAGCCAGCAGGAAGTCAGAAGTCATGGTCATGTGAGGTCCTCGCTTAACAACCTGTGGTCCTCACTTAACACTGGGACTGCCAGAACTGCCATCGCTAAGCAGTGTGGTCACGTGATGTTGTGCTTTATGACCACATTGCTTAGCAATGGCAATTCCAGTCCCAACTGCTATCGTAAACCGAGGACTACCTGTAGTAGCTTACTGGGAATGAGTTTGGTGTTAGAATCTGTGTTGGCTGGATTGTAAAGTATGATGAGGAAAGAATCTGTAAATGTTGGCCAGTGGAAACAATTTATAGTCCAGAGACTATAGCCATCGTTTTTCTTCTTGACATACATTGCAGTTGATACATAGCTGCAGTTTTAATCACCTCTAATGATTAATAATTAACTTTTGGTGGCAAGAGTAACATTGGCTTAGGGTTCATTCCTTTTTTCAGCTTTCAGCTACTTTTCTCTTTCCAGCCACAAGTCAACCCTGGGCTCTTGGGAGGTATACATAGTATATTCTCCTCCTCACATCAACCATATGAGCAAAGTTGGGCTGAGAGAGAGTGACTGGCCCAGAATTGCCCAATGTGTTTTCATGCACATAGTAATAGTCTGTCCCTAATTAATAATACTTTGTTAGTTACTTTTAAATAATAGCAACATTTATTTCAGGCAAATGTTAGGGCAGCTCATAAAATGCTTCCTCATTTTCTCAGCCCTGTTTTCAGTCTGCAAAGGCAAAGGAATACTGCATTTTCTTCACATTTGCATCAGATTGAAAACATTCAGAAAGCTTTCTTTTGTGGAGGACTTTAGCATTCATAGTCTTCTTTAAATTTGCTTCTTTTCTTTCTTTTAAACCAGGGTGGGCTATTTTTTGTGGTTGGAGGTTGCCTTCAGGGATCACAGGCATAGCTGATATTATGGCATCAGCAATATGGGCAAAGCCAATACAATTGGGTGCATTGTGAAGTGGGGGTTCAAAGACCTAAGGCATTCATATTGCCCTTTACCCTCTACACCACCATCAGTTTTGCAGGGTTTGGAGATGAAATGAATGCCAACCCCTGCAAGGCTTAAGGGGCCCAATTTGTTCTTTAAGCACCTGCCTCCAAATAGATCAAAACTTTTTGGCACCACTCAGTCCAGATGTGTTCTGTATATGCTTGTGGGTCCCCCAAAAATGCTAAAGGACCACTTTAACAGAAATTCTGAGTGGGATTGTCAGGACTGTGACTGTGAGCTTGTCCCCACTTGCCAGTTGTTGCCTTCTTATCATCCTCCATCCATACACAAGATAGGCTTCTGTCTTAGACTAAAAAGTTAGCTTTCTTCCTTTTTATCTGGATGCTGAGATAATTGGAGATATTTCCCAGCTCCTTCACCTCTATTTCTTTGTTGAGACTCTTTACAGTCTCTTGGCTATCCCTTTTATCTAGCTAGCAGATGATTACATCATCAGCATAGATTAAGATGTATGTCCTTCTATTATTTTGAATTTGGAATCAGGGGGCAACGTGAAATCTTCCTTTTTAAGCATTTAAGCTTATCATTCCAGGTCCTAATTGCTTGCTTCAAGCTGTAGATCAGGCCTGCACAACTTGTAGAGGGGAAAGGGCCACATTAATAAATTAAAATTCTTGCAGGCGACCAAGGAATAACTGGAGCCATGATCAACTGTTTAGTGGCTAGCAGAGCAGCAGCAGCAATGGAGCACACCTCAGCAGTGTGTCTTTTTGGAGCGGCCACAGTAGCAGCAATGGATCCTTCCTGGTGGAGGTGACATTTGGCACTGGTGAATTGAGTTTTTTAAAAATGCAGACAGGCTGCACAAAGCTGCTTGCTGGGCTGCGTGTGATCTGCAGGCTAGTTGTTGTGCAGGTCTGCTATAAATGCTTGCACACCAGATCCAACTTTTCTGCTTATTCCTTAAAACAAGGCGGCTGTTGCATGTTTTCCTTGGTTCAGCAATGCCATCTTTACATTAATGTAAACTAGTTGCATGTTCTTGTTCAGCAATGTAAGTCCATAAGTGTCCTTATAGAAATATGCTTGACCAGTAGCCGCAAAACTCTTATCACAATTCTTGCCATATTTTTTGCTATATCCCTTAGTTACCAGTCTGGATTTTGCTTTCTGTTGAGTTTGGGGCATGTGCCAAAGTCCTTGCTTAACGACCACTTGTT